TTTTTTTTTTTAAACGGGGCCACAAAGTGGTTTACAGAACATTTGAAAAAAAATTAAGACTTTCCAAAATATATTTTGTAGGGTTTTCACAGCAAAAGTGTTAAGGACATTATTGCAATAAAATGTTTAATGCAATATTTTTAACGTTGTGAATTTATATTCTTATAAATAATGAGTAGATTAGTAAATATTCATAAGTATTTTATTCTGTTGCGAGCCCTAGTTTTAAACAGTAACTAAATCTGATTATTATTACGATAAGTTTTTCTCTTGTTATTTCAAACCCATTTGATCTTTTTTTGAAGTAGTTACTGGCTCTTTTTCTTACAATACACGTGTTTTGGCAACAGGAGCCCTAAAAATGGTATTAAAAAAAACATAAAAGTGTACAAGTTTTCCAGTCAAATATCTAAACATCCTTACAACAAAATAAATTTACCTTAATACAATGCATATTGTATTAAAACTTTTTTTCAGGGAATGTATTTTGAATAAAACTGTATTTTGTCTTGTTTATTTTTTTACCTGATTTTTTTCCATTTAAATTAGGCTTACACTTAAAACTAGTTAACCAGTCTGCCAGTGCAATGAGACAAAATGCACTTGCATTCAAAACATTCTCTAAACAGAAGACAGATTGCAGAATGCAGTTTTTCCTCATTTATCAGATAGAACTATCTTTTTTATTGTTTAAGAAAGTTTGGGTTACTGCAAAACATGATGAAGCATGGTGTGTTATATTATAAGCATTCTGAAGCCATACAAGAGCTTGGAAGAGCGGCGAAATTGAAATCAATCTCCATAGCTCATTGAAATACAGCATGCCAAGATGCATCATGTCAGGTTTGACGTCTATCACTTCAGAAGGCTCTCAAAATGGAGCATGAGTCATAAGCGTGGATGACTTAAATTTCTCCTTTTTTCTCTAAAATTAAGTCATTTGGGTTTGGAATATCAAGAGGGTGATTCATTTGTTTGTGAATTATTCCTACAGAGATGTATCATAAATGAAAACAAAGGTATTCCAGTTCATGCTGTACCTGATCAGGGTCAGTAAAACTAAAGCATTCAGAGCTACTTCTAAACTGTGTCGGTTTGTCTCACTCACCGCTCTTCTTCAGAGAATAGCACTGCTTCAGGTCCTGACATGTGCGGGCAGGATATTGGCGAGTGCCATCAGGACTGCGCATGCTGTCCAGCTGACTTCCCAAGATCTTCAGAGACAAGTGAACCTCACTGTCGACCCGAACTGTATCAGATCCGTTATTAGGCCTTGCCTCATCCTCGTTGAACTCTGGCGGGGGAGGTGGAGGTTCCTCTGGCTCGTATTCGACATCAAGGTCGAAAGATGTTCCAAAAAGGTCATCCACAGCGGCTGTAGGGGGGCCAGGAGAACCTGGGGGTCCAGGTGGGCCTGGTTCTCCAGGTGGTCCCTACAAACAGACGGGTGAATACTGTTTATGCAGAAATTTAGTGTTGAAACATTATAATCATGATTATAAGTCATGAAGTACA